GGATCAGGCAGGGTTTCCTGACGCTGTATACAAGGATCACTACGAGTCTGAGGCAATCTGACTGTACCTAACAACAACGGGGAGCCCTGGTGGTGTAGGGAGTGAACCCTCAGCTGCTAACCAAAATGTCTAAAGGTCACATCCACCAGTTGCTCCAGCAGAGGAAGATGAAGCAGTCATTAAAAGCCAACTCTGTCTTACAGGGTCACTATAGGCTATGGAACCTATGACTATGGCTTTGGGCTGCTTGGGTTGATGGAGGAGGGCTTTCAGGATTGCAGTATGCTCACGGCCTCTTTATCCATGACAGCAAATATCTCACAGCTTCCATCGCCCAGTCCTTCCTCTCTTTCTACAAGCATCTCTCCATTCAGACCAAGTTCTCTCAACAGTGGTGAGAAAGGTAAAAAAGCAAGCGGAGGAGGACCTCAGTACCATTAAGAGAGACCACCAGGAGTGCAGTGGGTTCTCTTGATCCAGGTCCTTATACTGAAGAGCTCATCAGCACAGAGGAAGGACATGACACTCAGAGATTGCCAAGGAACCCTGGGAGATCGTCAGGGGACACTGGGATGCAGAAGAAAATAAGAACCTTCTTCCAGTACCAGCACACACAAAAAGCTGTCCCCTAGAGCTGGCACCCCAGACTTGACTTCCTGCCTCTTAAGCTATGAGAAGGATGCTCTGGTGGCCTAATCTGTAAGAAGTCACACTGCTAAGCCAAAGACTGCACCACTTTGGTAGTGTAGATCAACCAGCAACTAACTCCAAGGAGCAGTCTCCTCATGTGTGACTTTCAATCTTGGGAACTCAATGGACAGTCAGCTAGGAGTCAGTTCCAACTCGAAGGCAATGAGTAAGTAAGTGAGTGAAACTGTGAAAGAATAAATTTCTTTTTTGTAGAAGTCATCCATCTGTCGTATCTCTGCTATATTATTATCAAATACCTGAAACGAGCCACTTGTTGCGTCTCTATCACAGCATCACCAGAAAGCTGAGACGCACCCACCTGTGGTGTCTCTGTCACAGCAGCACTGGAGAACTGAGACAAATGAGCAACTTTTTCTGTCACTTACTGTTTGAACTATCCTCATTTGCTTATTCTGGATGTTTAGCCACCATGGGACCACTGCTGTTTCCTTTTTCTTTGTGTAAGACATGAGCAAATCATGACCAAATTTTGAACTCACTTAAGTTTTTTTAAAACAAGGAGCCAGTCGACAAAGGCTGGGCTGCAGCAGAAAGATCCGTGGTTCAAACCCAGCAGTCTCTCTGTAGAAGATGTGGCAGTCTGCTTCTATAAAGATGCATAGCCTTGGAGACGTTACGGGGCAGTTCAATCTTTTCCTATAGCATAGTTTGAGTTGTAATGGACTCAACTTTAACTTGAACTTGAATATGGACTTTTTGCCAAGGTTGAGGGAGCTTGTTTTGTAAAAGGCTTCATCTACAGCTTCAATTAATTCTAGATAGTTTTATTTTTCATGTTCTGTTCTCAGATAAGAGGGTAATTTAAAAAGAAAAACCTTTGCAAATCTGTTTTCTTCCTCAGTCCCTCCCATACCCCGCTGCTTCTGGGGCGGGATTCTCATGTCCTGAGAAAAGGAGCAATGCTTGCTGAGGGCAGTTTATCAGCCAGTCACAGCCCACACCTTCTGTTTGCAAGTGCCTGTGTGCTGAGGTGTTTTGCTTGCTGCGCCTCTGAAGAAGGAATGTAAGACTCCTCATTCGCTTGCTGGCACTCCTGGCTCCATCCTCCCCGAGCAGTGCAGCAAAGCCAGAGATCTTCTTCACTGTTGACTTACTCATCTCAGACTCAGACATTAGACTATCCTTGCCCTATTCCCAACACTGAGTCCTGAACCAAAGTATAAGAGCACTGAGTCTTCATGGTGTAATGAATAACATATCAGGCTGCTAACTAAAATGTCAACAGTTCAAATCCACCAGTGGCTCCTGATGAGCAGTCTGTGTAGCCTCAGAAACCCAGTGGAGGGTCACTAGGAGTCATAACCATCTCAATGGCAGTGCGTTTAGCTTTGGTTAGGGTAGTCCCCCAAAAGGAGCTCTGGTTACACACTGCCCAGCTAAGGCAAAAGGCAGAAGTTCAAATCCACCAGCTGCTTCTTGAGGGCAGAGCAGGGGGCAGGGAGCAAGTGGTGGGAGAAGTAGTCTGTCTCCTCTTGTAAAGATCTGCAGCTTTGGAGACTCAAAGAAGGGTCACCATAAGTCCAAACCAACCCAACAGCTATGGATGTGCAGTTGCCCAGAGCACCCCTGGAAGTATGAGGATAGAGCATTGAACTTCTATTCATTCAACCAAGACCAAGATCAAAGCTTTCTATGATGGGTCATCTCCCGGCTGATTTGTCTCTGCTAAAAAGCTTCTAGGGGAAGCCCTTGACCTTGGACAAGACATTCAGAACCCTCATGGGGACCCTACTGATCCAAGACTGCCCCACTATCCTCTCACCATGGATGGACATGGGCTTCCTTGTGCTGACTGCTCCGGAGTGAATTGTTTTACCTTGATTTTTCCACTTCATGTCTCCATCACATTCTCAAAACCCTGTGACATAGCTCAACAGATTAAGTCATACAAGGAGGCGTGTGCCTGGCATACTGGGGACCCAATCCCTGTTGGGGATGTCAATCTGAAAAAGGGCTCTGATTCTGCACGCGGTGGGGCTGGAGAGAGGCAGGTGCAGCCACCCTAACAGCAGAGGTTGTGACGTGGTGAGAACGTGAGGAGCTGGTCCCGGCACACTGGTCTGTAAGCACCGGGAGCCCGTGCTGACTTGCACACACTGACCCTGCTGGAAATGGTCCCCAGTGCACGGACTTCCCCAAGCTCAGCTGCCCACGCAACAGCTGCACAGCCATGGCTGGACTTTGTAGCTTTGTTCTCTTCTCACCTTTCATTTATTTATTGATTTTGAAACACAGGTCAAGTCCAAAATTAAAACAAACAGGAAAAACAAAACTTTAGCATTGCTGCCCAGCACCTTTCACTCACTTATTCATTCACTCACTCGCTCTCTCACTGTATCAATTCAGTTCTGACTCACAGCAACCCTCCATCATGTTTCCAGGGCTGTAAAACACAATGCCCGTCTTTCTCCTGTGGAGCCACTGGTGGATTTGAAGTGCTGGAGACACACAGCTTTTGGATTAGCAGCACAACTCTCTGAGAACTCCTCCACCAGAGCTCCCTGGTCTTCTCACGCTTGTTGTGCTGTTAGGTGCCATGGAGTTGACAAGATCTAAATGTTGCCCTGTCCTGCACCATCCTCACAATCGCTGTGCTCAGGCCCATCGCTGCAGTCTCTCCGTCAATCCTTCTCTGAAAATCTTCCTCTCTTTTGCTGACCCTCGACCTTTGCCAGCATGATGTCCTTTTCTAGGACCAGCCCCTCCTGTCAACATGACCAAAGTACGTGAGGCCAAGTTTTACCATCCTTGTCTCTAAGGAGCACTCTGGCCGCATTCCCTTCAAAACTGATTTGTGCCACCTTTTAGCAATCTAGAGGATAATTGGGTTTCTCCTCCGATGGACCAAATGCGAGTGTGCCTGGCATTACTGCAGTTCTTCACACTGCAGGGTGGGGCAGGGCGTGTTAACAATTGAAGGTTTGTGACAACCCTTAGAGAAGCAAGTGTCCAACAGCATGTGCTCACTTCCTGCCTCTGGGTCACATTTCAGTGATTCTTGTAATAATGCAAACTCTTTCAAAATGTTACTAAGTACCTAATGCTTTTTTAAAAAAAAATGTTTACTGTCAATTCTGACTCATAGTTGACCCTCCCTAGGATTTCTCAGGCTGTAAATTCCAACTTTAGAAGATTGTTCGTCACCCTCTGAGGACTTGATAGATTTGAACCGTCAACCTATGACCTGTTAAATGCTAGGCCATCAGGGCTCTTGCACACTTGGTTAAAAAAACTATCTCACTGCCATCAGATTGAACTGACTTTCCTGTGGACTAGCTAGTGGATTCAAACTAGCTGCCTTTGGGTTGGAAGCACAACTTTCTACCAATTAGGCCTCCAGACCCTTAATAGATTACTCTTTTTTTTCTTTTTTTAAAATTTTTCTTGATTTTAATAAACATTTACAGAGATTTTAGATTTCCATTCATTCATTGCTGCACTTTTCTCCCTGCCCACCCCTCCCCACCAGTTCGTTCCTGTCTTTGAAAAGAAAAAGAAAAAAACAATTCCTTCACTGGTATACAATTACCCCCATCTCCCTCATCCTCTCCCCTCGGCACCGAGTACACTTCTTTATGCAACCTTAATTCTGGACTCCAGTGCTAACCATAATACTCAATCATATATTGCCTTTAATCTGTTCTTTCCCTCATCTGTTTCAATATATAATATACATAATTTACCCAGTTTTTTCTCAGTCTTACCCCAACCCTGATGTCAGTCCCACTCTACAACAGTGGCACCATGCAGTATTTGTCCCTTTGTGACTGAGATATTTCACAGACCCTTAATAGGGTACTCTTAACTTTTCTAAGCACTGTGAAATTTAAAACTTCGGAGGAGTAGAGAACCAAGCCTTCAGAGGATGCCTACAAGTGGAGAGAAGTCTGTACCCTCCCCCAACCCACACAACCCGGGTCTGAGTAGTTAGCTGGGTCAGCTGCAAACATCCTCAGAAGGGTGTGCCCATTTTGAGCTCATCTGACCCAGTTAAGTAGCCAGGGTGTGAGCATCACCATCGCCCATCAGTTACGTACTTTGGGTGGAGATCAACCCAGCCCCAACCCTGGAGCCCCTCTTGTGTGAACTGGGTTCCCCTCCACCTTGGCCACTTCAAGCTGTAGCTGCAAATGTCAGTCCCAGGATGCAACAAGCCAGGTGGAGAGAGCCCTGGGTTCCCTAGTGGAGGCGCTAGTAATGCTGCTGGAGAAGGCACACACACAAAGGGAATATGAGAAATCCAGGTCCCAGAGGACACAAGCAGTTGCATCCTCTCTGGGACTGCTCACCTCTTGATGTAGCTGCTGAGTCTGTAGAGCTGGCCTTCTAGGTGTACTAGGCCGTCGCCGAAGACATTGAAGCCCCCGCGCACAGCTGAGTGTTCGCCCTGGCCCAGCACAGCCAGCTGGTCCCCGCGAAGCTGGAAGGTGCCGGGCTGCAGGCGAAGGAGCTGGGCCAGAGGCAGCAAGGCCAGCTCGCAGTCGCACGTCCACAGGCTGCGCAGCTCCCCGGAGGAGATGGAGGTCAAGCTCGGCCTCGCCACCGCCGCTGTTGCCATGTCCGCGGTGCAGAGGGTGCTGGAGAGGTCACCTGCCTGCGCGCTGCGCTGCAGTGCGCCCCACAGGGTAACTGGTGACTGCCCAGGGTGCCCGCCCGCTCGCTGGCCGGCCAGGAGCGCTGCAGGCACCGCGCGGGAACCTGCCTCTCCAGGGGCGCCCCTTTTATCTGGAGACAGTTCCCGTCGCCAGTTCCCGTCAACTCCGCGCTCCAGGCAGCCAAATGTTAGTCATCTCCCTCGGGGTGCATGCACAGCTCGGCTGCGCCCTGCCCACGCACACTGCAGCGGACATCTCCACCCACAAGTGTCTGAGGCCTGCCGGGTCATGGAGAAGAGGCCTGGCAGCGTCTACCCAGACCCCAAGATAGTCCAGATGGGAGGAAGGCGCCCCCACGGCCTGGAAGGAGACAATGGCAGGCACTTGAGTCCTCAGATTCACGTCCTTCTCTGACCTGGACCCACTTGTCAAGTCATTTTCTCTCAGTCTCTGCTTTCCATTTTTATAGTTCAAGGAGAGCTCTGGTGGTGCAATGGTTAAGCAGTCAGCTACTAACTGAGAGGTCATCAGTTTGAATCCACCTGTGGCTTTATAACTCTGCCCCTCTGTCCCATAGGGTCACTAACAGTTGGAATCCACTTCAAGGCAATGGGTTTGATTTTTTTTTTTCATCCCATGATATTCTTAGCATTTTCCATCCCTTCAGCTTTTCCTTTGCTAGTTCCTCGCCCTAGATTCCTTCTCCCTAAGAGATTCCACTGATCACAATGCAACTTCTATGAAACTTCCCAAAACCCTGAGATTCCCACAGCATTCCTTCTCCTTGCTTCTGTTGCCAGTCAAGGATGTCTTAAATATGCTAGAAATCAAGGAGGTTCCTTTAAAGACTAAGGCACTCCTGATCCAAGCCATGGTCTTTTCAGTTACTTCCTGTACATCTGAAAGTTGGACTATGTTAGATGACAGAGAAGAGTTGATGCCTTTGAGTCATTTATACATGTCATACAGAGAGAGAGGAACCCTCACTCCTCCCTTCTTCCCAGACATCCCATTTGTGTGAGCCCCCCAAGTTCCACAGCAAGTCCACCTATCTGCCTGTAAATACAAGAGTGGCAACTCTGTGTTCAATCTGGGATCAGTGTTTGGCCACTGGATGTATGAAATGAAGAATGTTTCCTGCCATGGAATTGATTCTGTCTGTACCGACACTACAGGACAGAGTACGGCTGGCCCCCTGGACTTCTGAGGCTGCATTCTTTATGGACACCTATCATCAGGTCTTCTCCCAAGGAGCTACTAAGGGTCCCAACTGCAAACTTATTTAGCAGCTGAGCCCTAATTTACAGCACCAGAAGTAAAGAATCCTTCATATAATCTCATGAAACATCCCCCTCCTCCAGTGTGGCTACTTGGAGACAGACTATAAAGGAAGCTCTAAAAATACTGAAATTAATATGGCCCAGTCCCTGCTTTATTTGGATGTACGGCATACCAGAAGGACAGCCAGACTCCAGCAGTTCTCTCTCCCACAGCTGTCAGCTCAGTTCCTCTCATTGCTCTGACCCCATAGGACAGAGTAGAATGGCTTCATAAGGTTTTTAACACTGTAATCTTTACAGAGGTGCCCTGGTAGTGTGGGGAGCTCTGGTGGTTTCTGGTTAAGAATTGCGCTGCCAACCCAAAAGTACACAGTTCAAATCTACCAGCTTCTCTGCAAGAAAAAGATGGGAAATCTCTTCTCATGTGATTTACTGCCTGTGAAAACTTGCTGAAGGGTCAATTCTGACTTGACAGTATACAATAACAACTGGTAGTGCAGTACCTAACATATCAGGCTACTAACCTGTTAGGCAGTTCAAATCCTCCAGCCTCTCCAAAGGAGCAAGATAGACAGCCTCCTCCCACACAGATTTACGTGATGGATGGTCATCCTGAGTTACAGGAGCCATAGTTTTGGGATTTTTGTTTTGTGACTATCTCATCTTTCTGCTTTGAAGTGGCTGGTGGGTTTGAACTGCCAACCTTTAAGTTAGCAGTCCAGTGATTAACCCACTGCATCTTCAAGGCTCCTGCAATTATGATGAACTCTAATGAAAAGTTCTGCTGAGGATTAACTAGGAGTGCAATGGGAGAAGGCTGTAGGCCAGTGCTGAGGAAAAGAGAGGCCTCCTGAAATCGGGCGATTTAAGGTTCTAAGCAAAAACATTGAGTAGAACTTACGGTAGTGTCTTTTATTTGTATTTGCACGTCCTTTGTGTGAACTCTTATTATTGTTAGCTGCCATCGAGCTGACTCAGTCTCATAACCACCTCATGAGTCCTTGTCATTGTTGAGCCTGCTCCAACTCACAGTCACTGACTCATAGCGACCCATGTGACAGAGGAGAACAGCCCCATAGGGTTTCCTAGGCTGTCATCTTCATGGAAACAGATCAGCAGGCCTTTCTCTTGAGAAGCAGCCAGGTGGATTTGAACCACCAACGTTTCAGGATAACAGCTGATCACTTAACAGTTATGCCATCTGGACCCTTTACAAAATAGATGTGAGACCTGATCCTAATAGAGCAAGGTCAAGGCAGTGTGGTTAGATCTGCTTTGGAGGCTCCAGAAGGAGGTGGCACATAGGCTGGACCTTGAATGTAAAGTTGAAGGAACATGATCAATAAGAAGTGCTTTGATTACATCTACAGCTTAAAGGCTCAGTGCCTTGGCTTGGAGAGCCTAAGGTGGTAGTGATGATTCTAGACCAGTTTGTGTCAAGAGAGACCATATGATCTATTTGGGGATGAGTTAGGGATTTGTGTGATCATAAGATACCCCGGTGGTATGATCACCAGAAACACAAGTCCAGCTGATGTGATCCTGGTTGACAGTTCAAATCCATTTGCGTTCATACAAAAAATTCTGGCAGTTTTCTTCCACAAAGATAAAGGCTTGGGGGGGGGGGTGGAGAACCACCTCAAAAAACCCCCAAATCATAAACCTATAAACTGTTGTTACCCAGTCAATACCAACCCAAAGTGACCCTGTGAGACACAGTAGAACTGCCTCATATGGCTTCCAAGCACTCCTCAAGAGAAAGTCCAACCATCTACAGCCTAGAAAATGCTATAAGGCAGCTCTACTCTGTTATTTGGGGTTCCTGAGAGCTTAAATCAGTAGAGAGCACTTTATAAGAACAACAGCAAATGTTGGCAGCTTAAATCTTCCTACTGTCTCCATGGGAAGAAAGACCTGGTGACCAACTTTAGTGACATTTATTATTGTTACTTGGTGCCACTGAATCCATTCCAAACCACAGCAACTCCATGTACAATGTAACATAACAAACGCTACCCAGTCCTGCGTCATCCTCATAATCCTTGCCATGTCTGAGTTCACTGTTTCAGTCACTGTGTCAATCTATCTCATTGAGGGTCTTCCTCTTGTACACTGACCCTCTACTTTACCAAGCATAATGTCCTTCTCTAGGGACTAGGACCTGCTGGTAACATGTTCACAATACATCAGACAAAGTCGCGCCGTCTTTGACGCTAGAGAACATTCTGCTTGTTTTTCTTCCAAGACAGATTTATTTGTTCTCTTGGCAGCCCCTGGTATATTCCATATTCTCCACCAATGCCACAACTCAAAGGCATTGGCTCTTCATTGACTTTCCTTTTTCATTGTCCAATTTTAACATGCATGAGAAGTAATTGAATATACTGTGTCTGGGGTCAGATCCACTTTAATACTCTTCACATTAATGATTACAGCTTAGAAAATCCTAGAAGACAGTTCTATTCTGTCCCGTGTGGTGGTAGATGTTAACTTTTCACAACCTCTCCGTCTCTGTCTTTTCAGTCAATCTCCCTGAAAGCAAACTTTTAACTAATCCACTGCCTCTTATTAACATGAGATTTCATAACTGGACCTCTGCCCCGTCCCCAAATCTGACCTCTTTACCATCCTCCATGCCCACCACCATGTTGACCAAGCCAATAGACACTTGTGTTCTGATCTCATGCATTCTCTCTGGTCCTTTAAATATCCTCCTCCTTTTGTTTTTGAAAATTTGTAGCTATTTTTGTCATTGTTGTTGTCTTCTTCAGTGATGACCCACTCCTGAATCAACCCTTTGGAAAGACTTCTTTGTCATCTCTTGGGGGAAATCTCTTCTCAGTTTCTGTTCTTCAGTTCTTTGGTGATCTTCATGCAGCATGGCCTTCCCCTTCCCCCTTCGTGCTTGCTTGCTTTGGTCTCTAATCTGCCCCTTTTATATCTCAAAGTGACTCAAAACACATCCTATACCAAATCATCTGATTAGCATAACAAGGGCAAACCCACTCCCAGAAAGAACTCACAGAATGGCACCTAACAACAATGTGAATCAGAAGCAACTGAATGACACTCAATAATAGCAAATGACATGAAACGTTGGTAAATGTTGTTGTTGTTGTTGTTAGGTGCCCCTGAGTAGGCTCTGATGAGAAACTCTGTGAATGAAACACTGCTCCAACCTGTGCCATTCCCACAATCTCCACCGTGCTTAAGCCCCCTATTGATTCACTGTGTCAGTTCATCTCACTGAGGATTTTCCTCTCCTTTGCTGATTCTTTATTTTGCCAAGTATGATGTCCTTCTCCAAGGACTTGCTCCTTCTGATAATATGGTTAAAGTATGTTATACAAAATTTCCTCTTCCTTGCCTCTGAGCAGCGCTCCAGCTACACTTTCAAGACAGATTCATTTACTCTTCCAGCACTCCCTGACATACATACACACAACACTTCATCAATTTTCTTCAACTGAGGTTAGCACAGGATAGAGCAGCATTTAGGGCTCTGGTACATAGGGTTGCTATGAGTCACAAGTGACTCAACAGCACATAACAACAGCAACAAGAAGGCATTAGCAGGGAGCCCTGGTGACCTAGTGGTAAGGAGATGAACTGGCAACCTGAAGGCAATTGGCTTGAATCCACCAGCAGCTCTGTAGGAGAAAAATGGACAATCTCCTCCCAGG